TCTTTGAACTTGGCGGCCAAGTGCCCGGCTCCGCCTTGAGCGCGCGAGCGAGCTCCTGCCATGGGGGTGCCATGGGGCAACCGGAAAAATGGAAAACGGACAGGAATGGGGCAGGAACATAAGGGACAAACAAGCGCCGCCGTATTCATAGCATGCCCCCGCCCTGATTGCTAGGGGGACTTGGCGAGGATTTTCCAACCTTAGTCCTTAGTTCCTGAATCGGTCAATCCTAGGGATCGTTGACTGCATGGGGTAGCTGCTGATTTTGTCACTCAAAGTTAAGGGCTCCCCAACGAATGCAAATTACCAGAAACGCGCTAGTGGATTCAGCTAGCAATGTTTGGAACCGTTGCACTTTCTCTGAACATGTTGAGAAGCAGTTGTGATGTTTGGAGGATTCGGGTTCTCCTTAAGTTAAGAAGTCTTCCATTTGGCCGTTTTCAATCGGAAACAAAACACAATCCAATTGTTAAACATAGACCAACCCCCCCAGAACACAAAACAAACAAACAAACAAACAAACAAACAAACAAACAAACAAACAAAACAAACAAACAAACCAACCAAACCAACTAACCAACCAACCAACCAACAAACAAACAAACAACAAAACATGAATAAATCAAATACATATACACCACCCCCAGGCAGTGATTTTCCGTCTTCTTCTTTTCCGTTTCTTCGACCCGACTCGCCTGGCCCTGGAAGGCGCTCGGCTCTCGCTTCGTGGTGTGCCTGTGCCTCACGCAGGTTCAAGCAAAACAAGCCAGCTGGATTCCCGCCAGCCAGGACATTGAGGGTCGACGCGGTTCACGCCAAAGAATCAAGAAGGAACCAGGACAACACCATAAGCCGTGGTGCAAATGGGTCGAAACAAAGGACACTGGCATGGAGAAACACCTTCGTTCAACCTCTCGCAAGTCTGGGCCGAGCACGTCCAGATGCTCGGGGAGAGCGACCTTCAGCCCAACATGGCCCAAAGCGAGACATGGCGACACGCAGCAAGCTTCTGCGATTAAACGTATGCTCCTTCGCTGGTCCCATGAACTCATGGGATTTATTGGGGGAACATGATGAATACACCCCCCTCTTCCCCCGCCACCCTCAAGGTCGACAAGGTTTTGGACAACCGGATTTCGGGCACACCGGGCGTCTTTCATCAGAGGGGGTGTAGCAATCTGCCGACATCCTTCGCGCCGACAGCAAAGCCACCTTTTCACTGGCGATAAAACTCCACAAACTCTTGCTCCAGCTCGTGCAACTCCTCGGCACAGATCACCTCAGCATCACACGTTGCTGCGGGTCATTTTAATGACTACCCAAAATGGGTCGCCCTGGTAAATGCAAGGAAAAAAACACAGTGGTCCCCCACCCAAGATATCCATTGGCCTCTTCGAGTGGACGGTCCCAAAAGTCCGAACTTTTTGTTGGCCACTAGAATTGCCTTCCTAAAAAGTTTAAATTCCAGAAACTCGGTAAGTGAGATCCATTGGCCTTCCCAAACACTTGCATATGAACAACGGCAATGATGCACAATGATAATTCCTTTGTACTCCAGATCAACTCATTCATTTGACGGGAACAATACGTATCTTCTATGAAGACGCCATGTCCAAACAAATGGCTGCTAATCACACGTCTTTATGTCAAACAAACATGACACCGCAGGTGGCTATTTCCATGGCTGTGTCAATTGAAGGCCCCAAGCCATACGGCACAATGGGTTTGACTCAAAAAGTTTCAACACGGGGAAATGCGCAAAATTGTTGTTCTGCGTTCTGTGTCCATGTGGGGGTTACCCCACAGAAAGGAGCCGCATCACAATACCCGTCCATGCTTGGTCTCTTCCCGGGCCAGGGATAGACAGCGATCCTCACTACACTTTCTGTCACAAATGAAAGCTGAATCAATCCGTGGCAAGCTAGAGGCAGCAACAATGATTCCAATGATTCTCATGTTTTCTCCAGTGAGTGCAGTGAGGAATTTATCACTCGAAATATAAGCGTGCTCACGTAAGCATGCCATCCGCGCGACCAACTGGAAGTCATAAGGGGGCCCCGGTACATGTATAAATCTGATTTTCCATACCCTCTCTCCAACCAATCTGGCACCTGACAGGGATACGGTCCCAAGAGGAAGCTGATCTTCCAGGTACCCTCCCACAGATGCCATGGCGTGGGAGGAAGGCTCATACTTCTAGGCAAAAGTGAAAAAGGTCTAGGAAAGGGGAAAAAGGGACAACATAAAGAGATGCTTCCGCAAAAAATATCTTGTTGGGCTCCATGGGAGATGTTTCTGAACCGATTTCCTTCATGTTTGCAGTCATACATGTATTTCCTCTTCACCAAACATGGGAGATGCTTCTAAAATCTTCTAAACCCGATTTTCCGTACCCTGCTTCAGTGAAAAAACATCCAGTGGTTGATGTTTTATTGCTTTCAACCATCGTTCTTTCCTGAAAAAACAACAACAACAGCCATTCTCCCTGGGTTTCCGGAGGTTTTCTAGAAGGATCCCTGGAAAGCATGCGGAAGGTACTTTTCGAGTGATTTCTGGATTAGGAAGAACCTAGAATGGCACTGTTAGAATGCTACGTTTTAGTTTGGGGAAGGTAGCGGAGAGGGGCCTTTCTTGGGCAAGAAGGATCCCGGGAAAGAAACCTTTAGAAGAGCTTTTCTTTACACCAAGCCCCAAAACGGTACTCGAAACAAGACTTGGACCCATTTTGTCTTGGGGCTTCCGGGTTTCTTCCGGGTCCAAGGCGCCAAGGAGTGCAGCGGCTCGCCCAGATCCATCTCCGCGAGGCTCTCCACCGGCCCCGCGCGGATCACCTGGCAGAGTTCTGCGGCGCGGATCTGGTCTCGGCGGAGAAGGAAAAAAAGACCCGCCGGGGGATGGCGGGTGCTTCGGTTTGTTTTTTGCGAGGGAGCCATTTGAAGGAGGGAGCCATTTTCTTTTGGTTTCTTTTTTTCTTGGATGAAACCAAAAGGAAGGGAAGCCAAATGGACAGCTATTCTTGGCCCTTATTCTGACACAGAATTACCCGTGTCGGGTTGGGGGTTCGCAGTCAGGGGGGGGGGAATTGGTGGGGGGCAAGTTAAAAGGAGGAGCCTCCCGGCAAAACCAAGGAGCCTTGGTTTTGTGTTTATCCACAGATTTGTTTTTGGTTTTGCAACAGGTTCGGATGTTGAAACGGGTCTCCTCGACGCAAAAAAATCAACAATTCCAACCCACGCATTTTTCCGAATGTTTCAGAACTTGGGCATACAGTATGTAGGCAAGCAGTCCAACTTGTGCGACTTTGAGTGTTTACCCCCTCTACTTGCTTTCTCCCTGACTTAACCAGTTTCGACCGCATCTAGTATCATCCCACTCTCCTTGACCATTCAATGCCAAAGGTACGCGGAAAAGATGACTCACGACACGATCCTGGCGTCCCTGACCTTTTTGTTTGTGTTGGTGTCTGTGTCTGTGTCTGTGTGTGTGCGCATCAAACTGGGGACCCATTTTGGGACGGCTTTCAGGAGGAGCCGGTGCCACTTGGGAGGGCTTCTGGAATTCAATCAACTGTGGGGTTGTCATAAAACTTGGGACTCCCTTTTTGGATTATTCTGAAGGGAACGTGGAAGAACACACAAACTTGGGGGGGTTGGTCTGAAATTGGAAATCTTTTGGTTCACATTTCAAACTGGGAAACAAACAAACTTGAGGGATCCCTTTTGTGTGTTGCCCATGGGATCTCCTTCCCAAAGACATAAACTTGGGTCTTCCTGAAAATCCGCCGCCTGATCCTCTCGTCCAAGGCGAGCCAGGCCAAAGCACAATGCCCCACTGTTGGCCACGTTCTCCTGACGCTCCTCGTGCCAGCTGCACGGGTTTAGCGCTTTCCTTTCAGGGGCACCCAGCTTTCTTGAAGAACTGCTGCCTGTTTGTGTTTGGACAGGTCTGCCTGGCGAAACCCTTGCAACAGCCACGCGCACGAAGATTTCCATCGGAAGTCCAACCTGCATATTTCCGTAAGTCCAACAAAAGAAAAATTGGACCCCGGACCCGTTTTTCTTGAATATAGGGATTGGAATTTCAGGGGTTTGCTTTGATCCCACACGCCGAATCGGACGATTCGAGATCTCGCCTTCTCCACTTGGCAGAGCTGGTCCAGCGCTTGGGCCACCTCGGGCTTCGCACCCTCCGGTTCCAAGCACCATTTATCTGAAAACTGCACATTGGAACCTGTTTTGATCCAGCAACTTGAGCTATGTTTATGCCCCAATGCCGCAAAGTCAAGCTCACAATGGACTAGAACCTCTGCTAAAACTGGCCAATGTGGCGGCATATTTGGGTCGCCCTCAGGTGCTCAAAAAGTGAACAGCTCAAAAAGTGAACATTGGCCGTGCAAGCTGTGGTTGGAGTTCGATTGATTCACGCTGGCGATCTGGGCCCTTGGTCGAAGATGTCAACAGCATGGCGGCCATCCGAATCCGTCCGAGCCGCTGTCATGAACCTTGGCGGCTCGTAGATCTTGCGGCCCCGCATGAGGTTCTCGACCTTGAGTGACGCAATTGCTGCGAATCCACCTGTGGATAGTGCTTCCCGTTTAGAGACCCCAGCGATGAGTCAAAACCCTGCTTAAGGTCGCCTTGATTTTAGGGAGAATTCAGTCCCCAAGGGTGTTCAAGGTCGCCTGGCCATGCTTTTAGGGATAAAGCAGTCCAAACACAGACTTTGGAAACCGCTCCTCAAAAGCTGCACCAACAGCTAGAAGCGAAGGTTTGGATCAACAGGTCCAAGCCATGGCTTCTGTGGGCCAAGCAGCGGATTGCTCCTTGACCTTGATGTCCAACAAGCAAAGAGTGTGGAGGCCCGCCTTCTTGTTCTTCAAAATCTTGTCCTGAGCGTCTCCTAGAATGAACCCTAGCTTTGGTTCTGTTGGCTTTGACTGCACTTGCTGGGAGGCCACGCCGATGGAAGGCAACCGCAGCTGCCAAGACATGGAAATGGAACGGCAAGTCTGGCATAAAGCCTTCGAGCTTAGAGGCTGCTACTGGCTTTGACGATTCTCAGCTTGTGGGTGCGATGCTTTCCGTCCCTGCGGGATGGATTCTGGGATCTTTGCAGGGTTCATTCCTATATTCAGACCTGCCACTTTAGTGTTGCCGGACATGTCAAGGACAGTCGCCACCCCCGAGGGTGTGCCCCGGGTCTGTAAGACAATGTTGAGTCATATATGTCGTTCGCAGCCAAACTGGGGATATGGTGCTCCAGTAAATCGGGACTCCATACCATACGCGTACACCCTCAAAACATTACATAATAGCAAACAGCCGGGGGCTTAGATTGGAACACGACATGAGGCCTTGAAAATGCCCACTCCGCCCAGCTGTATTTCGCGTGTTTCTTTTGCTTTCTGTTTTATGGACCCTTTTCGGGGTTCGGAAAGAGCACCCAAAGGGGAAACGACCAGGGTTCCCATGAGACCAACTCCGCCCGGGCGCATACCAGCTGTCCGGCCGCCAGCCATCCAGCCAGAAAGGGATAGACACGGTCTCCCCGAAGCGGTAGAGCTGGAGCCCGCACGAGGCCACCGCATTCATCACCTTGAGTCCATGGCGCGCATGAGAAACTCACGGGTCAATTTAGTTGACCTGGTGATTCTTGCCGCGTTGAACTGAGTTTGAAGGGAACTTTCCGTTGGTAGATAGGTAAGGGGTACATCATGGGTATATGTCGAACCTATGACCCAGGGTCACCTCCTAGAGTCCACTCAAACTTCCAAACACAAAAAAATGAAACGGCAATATGCTTGCACATACTTCTGCGACGAGCCTGAATCTATGGACCCATTCAATATGTTGTTTGTCGATTTTTTTTGGCACACCATTCAGCCTGACGACATTCTAGAAAGCCAGTCATGTTTCAGGACTAACATACCCGTGAGTTCACACACACTTATGCATAATATACTTACACTATACTTCTGCTGTTCATACCTCCTGCATTGTAATTTGGTGCCCCGTCCCCTCTTTAAGAAACAAATTCAGGGAGCTGGCCGCACCACACACACAGACACGCAAAGTTGTTAAGGGCTTATCGCGGCTGCTACTTTGCGTATAGCATATGAGTCTTTCGTATCTGTACTTGACGGTAGATGTTTCAACCGCTTTCAAGAGAAGCCAGGTCAATGCACAAGAGCTGCTAAGCCTCAAAGGGGTTCGGGCGCATGCAGACCTCAAGCACAAATCTGCCCCCCAACCCCAGGACCTCCCGGCTTTTTTGGGGGCTTCTTCTCAACCTTTGGCGTCAGTCCTTGGAGTTGAAGCACATGGATCGATTCCGCCGGTCTGGAGCACATGTGTTTCTTTTGGGGGAACCGCCGACTTGGGTTTAAGAGGGACACCAAAGGGATGAGCCAACCCTGACGACATGCCAAGGACCTGGCCGAGGCATTGTGGATGACCTGCACCTTGATATCCTTCTGCCTGGAGTCAAGTCGTGCGCAAGAAATTATCAAAACGCGTGGGCTGAAACTTGTGTTGATGCAGCTCGGGCAGTCCGCAGTCCTCGCACGGAGCCAGAGGTCAGTGTGAGTTGTGGCGCAGAGTGGATCCCCGACCACCAAAAATGACCTCAGCTCGATAGGGGGTGAACTACTGAAGATGCGGCCCTGTGTAGAGCATCCACTTGGTAGAAGATCCTTTCCAGCCCGCTGAACTTCCAGCATGTTAGCCCCTTGGGGGGGGGGGCAAACGTCACCCGCAACCATAGCCGCAGCGACTCTTGGAAGCATCAGGCATGGCCCGCGGTTCACATGTCACAGAAGGCTTGTGGCTAGCGGCTAGCAAGAGCAGTGACACCCAACCTCGGCCGCGAGGCCAATCCCCACCCTCGGAGGCCTTCATAGGCGCGTCCAGTTCAAGCACTCAGAGCCCTGAACCTTCCGAGCGGCACAGCGTGGTCCTGCAAGGGAGCCCAGAAAGTAACGTGGGAACCTGAACGGCGATTGGCCGAATGATTGCTCAAAGATTGGCCGAATGATTGCTCAAAGATTGTGAGCTGGTTCAGGTCTCTGGCAAGTTCTTGCTAGCGTGCTGTTCCTGTCAGGACTCTGAGTTTGCTCGCCGGTGCTTTGTTGTGTGGCAAGCACAGCCATCAATGACCCTGCTGGTGAGATCTGAGTCTTGCCCCAAGCACGAGCTCAACATGAGCTTCAGTTTCTGAAGAAGGCGAGCCATTTGTCGCGAGACTCAAGTTGGCCACTCCGTCGGTACTTCACCGATCACAAATGGCATCGGCTTCAAAACTGAAATCCTGGCACACGCTCTTTGCGCCGTGATTTTGCACGTGCCAAGGGCTCGCAGTTCACTGACATTGTGTTTTCCAGTGAGTGCCTTCGTGTGATTCCCTTGCTAGGATTGAACACGTTAGACCCACGAAAGCAAACAAAGGCAACGCATGAAGCAGAAGGTGCTGCACACACACACACACAAGTCACATCAATCTGCACATCAATCTGCAATACTCGACGCAGAAAGTGTAAACCACAGCCACATCCTCAAAGTGCTCAACAAAGTGTGCAGCCCTGCCCCTCCGCAGCTACCAACTTTTTGCTATCTAGCCTCTTCCGAATTCTTCCCCCGTGGCCCTCTCGACGGGGAAAAAGAAAACAAAAACAGACCTATCTTCTGGCCATGGGTGAAAAGCCCGTACCGGCAGTGAACATCCCAATCCCCCCTAAAATAGACTAAAATGGGTGCTGCACCTACCCCAAAATGGTACCACTTGACACACAGCCATCTGGCGGCTCGATGCTCCTTGGCGCGCTCCAGCATCTCCTCGCAGCCGCTCTCCACGAGCTCCCGGTCCGCCTCGATGATCTCCGGCACCCCATACCTTGGCCGACGGCAACGTCAATACTGTTTTCTAGGTGTTTCAGAGGTCAGAACAAGGTACCAACCTTTTTTCGGTTTGGTCTATTTTAGTAGGGGAACCCTCCCAACCAAAAGGGGTGAGAAAGGGCACTACTGGAAAACCTAGCTTTAACCACATTTGAGTGTTGCTCCAAATTATTTGGTCCCAAAAATGGGCTTCCATCCAAATGTGGCAGGGTACCAACCTATATAAATACCCCACAGTATGTTTTAGAACGACGCTCGTTTAGGGCTAGGCCCCCCATCTCCCCAACCCCGTGCACCCCTGTTTCCTCCCCAAATGAGCCATGTTCACACGTGCGAGCATCCATTGCAATCTGTGCACGCGTCACTGCTTGGAGATCAGCCAAATTTCAACCTGCTGCCAGTTGCTACCTGGCTAACCGGGGACAGTTGCAAGCCGTCAAAAACAAAACGCTATTAGTCAGCAACAGTGGTACATTTCTGTGCAATATCCTTCCTCTGCCACTGGACATGCCACCAAATTTACAAGGGCCACTTGTCATTTGGCGACACGTTGTACAAAATCATTTTGACCAACGCCAAGGAAAGTAGTGACCTATTTCAAGCCTGGGAGTAAACCACTTGCTTCGCCTTTCGCCCAAAAATGCATTTACCAATCGATGATTATTTGATGTTGGCTGACGACGGACCCAAACGCAAGCGCCGGCAATTGGTCACCAGAGCGTCTCTACACATTGGGTACATTCTGCTTCCAACCCCTGGGTGCAAGGAGTCATAGTCAAATAGCGGAAGCACGCGACAATTGAACGGATGCCATTTCAAAGCTTCAGGAGAGAACAAAGTAGGCGTTGAATAGGCATGCGGCTTACCTTGAGGCTGAAGACAAAGTCAAGCAACGCCTTCGCCAGCGTTTCTCGATCAAGGCCCGGTAGAATAGAAGTATACCTGGGGGAAGCAAGGCACTGTTGCACGGCTCAACAATGGGGGGAGATTCTCACCGCGTGTGGCTCCTCATGTTCCATCATCTTTCTTGTGCTTCTGTGTTGCTGAAATTCAAGAAGCTAACCGCTGCTTCCCCCACCAGTCATGAATATTCACGAGCAAGCTAGCATCGACCTCACAGAACGGCTGAACACAACCGCCCCACTCAACTGGCTGTATGCCCAGTAACCCAGTAGTCAATGGAACTAACTTCTTGGGTTGCTGGGGTTGCATCGGAAATGAATACATCACCCCAAACGGGTTCCCCAAATCACCATGAGTCGCCACTCGGAGTTCCATGGACTTCACCCGAACTAGGTCCTCCAGATTTGAGAGGTTAGACTAAGGCTACCAACCTCTTTTTTTTGGGGGGGCTATTTTAGTAGGGGAACCCAAAACCAACCAAAAAGGGGTGAGAAAGGGCACCCAGGGGGACTTCACCCGAAAACGGGTGAAGTCCACCTTGGCCACGTTGGCTTTGGCCAGCGCTCGGCCAAGCAGCGCCTCCAGGTAGACGTAGGCGCTCCTGAGTCGCTTGCTCCGCTCCGTCCCACAAGACGGTATCTTTACAACAGGATCTGTGAAGAATAGTTGTTGCACGCTATAAGTTCCAAACATGATTCTTGGATGGGCTCTGCAAGGTAAAGTATGTGGATCCGCCCTTCTCGCATGACTTCCATCTACCAACCAGTGGCTTTGTCTTGCGGGTGGTCCCCCATGGGACACACATGGCAGAATACATGGCAATGTTGTCCGGGGCAACCCCACCAAACAAGGTTTTAAAGGGAAAGCACACATACAATTCTTGTTCGAACACACGGCACCCCAGTCACTCATGCAGCGCTGAAACCAAGGCTCTGCTGCAACGCTTTCAAGCCCTTTACGGTGATGTCGCCATCATCCCCCAGGCCCAGCCCGATCATCCACAGCATGGCGGAAGGGGACGCTGAAGCAAGAGGCAACGATAAACCTTCTGCAACTGGCAGGGTAATCAGAATGGGAGGCACTGGGGATGTTTGGCAAAAGGCCAAAAAGCATCACTCACAAAGAAGTATCATCCTGGGGTATGTGATTCTTGCAGTTGGAGAATGAAGCTTCATGGTCTCGTACGGCTCTTACATCTTCCACGCTTGGAAGCGTCTTGAGACAGGGAGGCTTATTGACAGGCTCCTGTTGAGAGCCAATGCGGCGAAAGCAAAGCTGCACCTTAGGTGTGGGTTGCTCATGGCTACCAACAAACATTCAGAAGCAGTTTCCCAGAGTTCGACTCCAGAGCGGCAAAAGGTGAGGCAAAAGGCAAATGGTGTGTGAAGGTGCTTGCATGCTCTGCTGAACCGCTCCACCTACCACTTGCATCCAAAGAACCCTTCACAAGCAATCGCCAGGCACCCTGCTGGTGCTGATGGATCAAAGCACCTCAACAAAAGGACACGAGATGGAGGGAGGCAACCGGGCACCGCCAGCAAGTGCTTGATTTGGATCAGCTTAGAATGTTGCCTCAAAAAGAAACAAAGCTGCGAGCCTACTCCGGCTCCGTGCACTCTGAGTCCCGTGCCAAAGCTTTGCGTATCAGCTGCTCCCACGATTGAGGGGGTAGCAAGCACGGCCGTATCATGTACTTCCATCTTGTATGCACACTGCACAATATCCGACAAACAATTAGATTTGGAGTCAAATGGCCAATTTCCACTTCTAAGGCATAAGCAGAAGTCCTCCAGTGAGCAGTAGTGGTAGGACAACCTGAGCACTTTCAAATACACATTGTGATTGCATCAGAATTCCGAAGGGCCACGGTGTACATAAGCAAGCCAATATTCTTAAGAGTCAAACCCACTTGGTTGAACAAGTTCAATCGGCTCTCGCGATTGCAGGCAAGATGCTCGGCGTCGAACGCCGTGCCGTCGCAGGACACCCTGAGCCAATGGACACCGTCCATGGTTCTATCCCAACCCCAAACTGGGAACCCCTTTCCAGCCGCGCGAACAGGTGGCTTTCCCGAAAATGCCGGTTCCGAAAAATCCGGCTAGGGGGGCACATGCGGATCCGCCGCTTTCCTTTGGCTCTCGATAAAACTAGCCAAAACCAGCTTCTGCGCTTTTTGTCATTTTTAATCAACAAACAAACAACCACAACTGAGCTGTGGCTCAGTCGCCCGGCAGCAGCGGCTGTCCATGGATCACGACCCCCGAGACGTGCCGCAGGACAACCCGCCGCAAGTCCCGGTCCTAAGGTGAAGGCGGACGGAGCTTACCCTCCCACCAGCGAACATGGTTTGGTGCACAGACCCCTGTAGAAAAACTACTTCCCTCTTGGTGGCAGGGTGAGGTATTCCCTGGTTGAGAGTTTGCCTGGAAAGACACGGAACCTGGACCCTAAGCTGACATACAGGGCGTACAAATTTGCACGCTTCTTAGTTGCCCCCTGATCCGAGGAAGGGACGGACACAATTACAAACAAGTTGTGTTGTGGGTGGTTCTAAACGCCAAATTCAACATGACATCCTACATCATCCACCCAAATGTGCGACCGGGTTGGCATGGGAAAGCCCTGTAGCAGGAAAGGCAGTGCTCTCATTGGCGGGGACGTTGGTACAAACAATGCTCCGTGAATGTTTCAAGTACATGCTAGTTGAGACCTCGCTCTGGAGTACTTACGTTCCAGGCCGATCATTTTTGTGACGTCATGCTCATGAATGTAGCGCCAAGCAGCACAGGCAACACCAAAGATTTGAAGAAGGAGAGCTTTTGAACCGGGGCCTTGCCATATCAACAGTTCTGAATTGCGCTGATGAGCTTGCAAATGCGGAAAACACCCTAAAGATCATGCCCTTTTTCAACGCATATCAGCAATAAAAGCAGTGCTTTTGAATCCCTTCAAAATAAACAGCTTCAATGAACCCCCTGAACCCCCACCCTTCACCCCGCGTGTACATTGCTTTGTTTGGGTCTCTGGAACTCATTTTGATCCAATGCAGGGAGCCTCATGCCTGTGAAACTGACTCTCTGGGTTCCAAATACCCACAAATTGCCTCATGCGAATGAGGCTTCTCGTTACTTCGCAGCCCATTCACTCCATGTGTCTCTTGGGGTCTGAGGCAGCCCATTCACTCCGAAGGCTTCGAACCCAAGCCGGTAGCTGAACCTGAGTGGGTCGACATGGCCGGGCCCCCGGGCGAAGTGGAAGCCGTAGCCCAAGGGCAGGGAGGCGCTGCGCAGCATCTGCAGGCTGATGCGGGAGCTGGCGCCCCCGCCTGCGATCGGTGCGATAGGTGGGGCAGGTGGGAAAGAACCCAGGGGTCGGTTTTCTTAAAGGAAACCACAAGTTGGATGGTTTATAGGCGTCAGTCCATTTCTCATTCCCTCATTTCTTCCTGCGGAGCAGCAAGTAACTCAATGCCTCACATACAGCACCGGTTTAACGTCAGCATACTGCAAGCAACCGACCAAACTCGATCACAAAGCCATGGTCAATTATGGTAAGTAGGTAGCGATCCAGCGCACTTCGCCATGCCACCGGTGACCTCCTTCAACCTGCCTCACCTCGCCTGCCTGCATACGGCTGGCTGGTCTCGCCAATTTCCAGCCACTCCTGAGAGCCGCATTCAGCGAGGCTGGCTGGGTCGAATCCCATGGGTTCAAAGGTTGCTTCGAATTTTTCCATAAAGCCGCCACAAAGCAAACATGGATCCAACGGAAGGAATCCGCCAACCTGCTTCCATGCAGCACACAAAACTAGGTCCTCCAGTACAGAGGTTAGAATAAGGGTACCAACTTTTTTAGGTTATGTCTATTTTAGTAGGGGCAAGGGCACCACTGGGGGAGCTAGAAAAACCTTTGTCCAGTCGGATTCCTTCCGTTCGTTTCAATCCGAAAGCCGCTGGGCGCCGGACCGCGAGCGACGCACAGCGCCGCGCCCTCGGCCGGTTTTGGCTGGCGTTGCCGGGCGCGTGCTCCCCTTGATCGTGCCCTTTTAAAGGGAATCCCAAAGAAACCCAATGTGGGGTCCCACGCATTTCCACGCCCAGGCCCGTGGAAGCTGTTGCGAGCCCTGGCTTCAGGCCGCTGCCAATTATCCAAAATGCGTACACTGCTCCGGCCGTTTTCAAGAAGGGGTCCTACGGTGCCACTCAGCCCGGTGCCTTTCATCGCCCCAGAGACGTAGAGCGGGTGGATCCTATGGCCAGTCCATGCTTTGAACCAAAAGCACTGGCACCCACCCTGCCTACTGCCTTGGGCTCCTGGGTAGCAATCACTTTTCTCCAAATTGAACTGCACATCCAGACCCATTTATGAGTGGGGGGTGACTTTGGTTGAGGCCAAGCGTTGGCAAACTTCCGCGTCCCATGTGCGGGCCTTGGGTTTGCTCTGGGAATGCCAGGGATGCTGTCTTCGCCTCCCCCACACGCATGCGTGTGCATGCGTGTGCTGAGCAACCCCAGCGAAGCAGCGCTGGTGGTGAAGCGCTAGGATCAACATCACAGGAACACCCCCCACGAATGTGAAAAGCCTTTCAGCTGATGGCTTTAAGCCATGTGGGCAGTGCTTCTCAGGCAGCTGGGCGCCCACGCAAGCGCAGCGTCGCCGCGGAACACCGGGCCGAGCCTGGAATGCCAACGATCCAACGATCCAACAGGAGGAGGGGGGGCGTTTTGCCTTTTGGCTTCCTTGGACACTTCCTTGGACACTTCCTTAGGGCTTTTGTGGCTCGCAGAGATTTGTGCCTCGGGCTGTTTGAGCTGGTTTGCCTTTCCTTCTTTGCCTTTTGGCTTTCCATCCTATGACTACAAGTGAGCAGTTTCACAATGTGCTGCGGTTGCTGTGCAATGAACCACGCATGGCCGCTTGTGCTCCAAGGTTTGTTGCAAAGATGCGGGGTATGGGTTGCTCCAATGTTTGGATATGCCCTCAAGGTTTGGAAACGCGCCAACGAAAACGGGACCTTTTGGCCAACGAATTTACTGAAAACTCTTCATAAGGCCAGAGGTTGTCGGCCTTGGACGGACCCCGTCCCGCCTGTCTCCAGGACTGGGCATGGCATCGCAGGCCCAGGTCACCCGCTTGAAGCGAAGCAAGCTGGATGGCTGGATGGTTTACCTATTCCCGCATAGCAACTCAGTCTGTTCAGGTCAACTGCAGTACGGGCCATGGAACCTGCAGCGTGCCTTGGAAAAGGGCTTGAGGCTGGCTCTCAGTTTGTCCGATTTCGTCCGAATTGGAGGGAAACATCGGTGCAGCGTGAGCATGCTAATGTGCTTAGAGCCGCCACCAAGGCAGAGCCCCCATCCATGCCAAGTCACTTACACTGCAACACTTGCAGCCCTTGCGCCAATTATCTCTCCATGCTGCTTCCGTCTCTCCCCATTTTCACTTGACGCTCTGGAGATACTATCTCCAGCCTTCAAACATGAAACCGCATCACATGTAGTCTGGCTGGACACCTCTCTGCATGTCTTGCCGAGCACAGCCCTCCCAGCTTTTGGCGCAAGCTGACCAGGATTGGAGACGTCGGCCTGGCACAAGCACCACCAGCTGTGAAGGGGTGACCTTTGCCCAAAGGACCTGGAAATTCAAGTTTACCCTTTTGGGACCTCCACCAAATATGGACCAGCGCAGGAAAATCAGAAGGTCAAACGGCTTTGGGCAAGTGAGTGACATATGAAAGCTGACATCCCGAAGGCTAGCTTGGCTGGAGGAAGCTGCTCAGGGCGGCTCCATGGTAAGATCTGCGGGCGGCCTGGAATACTCAAACGTTCCCGCAACCTAAGCACACTCACAGACACGTCCACATGTGCAATCATGAGGCAGGTGAAAAAACACAGAACCAATGCACGTCCAGTGCATCTCGATTTGGCATCAAGCCACACATGCTTCAAGCACTGAGCAAATGGTGTGGCCAATTCTTTTTTGGAGGCTCCGTCGAAGCTTCTGAGAGGACAAACGAGTGCCCTGGGATGCCATCAACCTTATGACTTCGCATCAACCAAAGCTTGAGGATTTGAAGCGATGCACTGGGCACCAAGCCGAATTTGCAGTGAGAATATGGGAGACGATTCTTCGTAGCACACATACATAAGTCAGAGTGAGAAGTTCATCTGCACTTCATGCTTCAAGTGTCCCAGAAGTAGCAATTCAAGCTCAAGTCCTTTCTTGCTTCTTCTCAAATTGCGGCTTGGAACTTCTGTGTCCAGTCCGAAAGAAGCCTGTAGACCCTCGGAAGACGCAACCCGTTCGTTCGGGACTTCTCCCTTGCCCTGCCCTCCTTGCCCGCGATCAGTTGGAGGCGTCGCCCTGGCAAAGGCAAATAAAACCGTGGACGACACACAAACCACTGGTCGAAAGAGAAACCCGCCACAAATCATTCGGCCCAGTCGAGCGACATGGTCTTTCTGCCTGGAGCAACTTGCTTCACCGGCATTTCACCGTGCCTGCAGTGGGAACCGGAGGATCCAGTGCCGCCTCGGATGAGGCGCTCTTGGCATGGATCCTACAGGTTGCCCGGGGGCTTGAACCAGACATGACCGGCGACCAATACGATGTCATGGGCCCAATTAGGCTTGGAGCCTTAGTTCAGCCAAGTTCCCCAAAACTGGCGTCAAACATGACTCTCCTGTCAATGTTCAGGGTAGGATAGACCGCAAACCAGCTGTCAGTTTCAGGTGGTGGGTGAAAATAGTCAAATCATCTCAACACCTCATGCCAAACACCTGTAATATGGTCATGTATTGGTGTGTCCCGTGGCCCACAAAAGTTGTGGGCAACGCGATTTTAAGAGTGGCGGCCACCCATATATTATTTTTCAAGCAGGGGACTGCTGGTGGTTTGCGGGACAACCCGGACCCAAGCCATTTCTGCTGTGGCTGTCTGTTTGCAAAACGGTCTCTGCAATGCTGTCACAGGGCAAGCATCTGGTTTGATTGTTGCACAGGACCTGGAAACACAACAAAGCATGAAGACACGCACTCAAACTAAGCCAGCCGGAAAAGCAGGGGAGAGAACCAGCAGCACAGTGTGTCCAATCTTCACACATTCTCGTTTCCTGGGACGAATGCCATAGACAGTACCTGCTTCTTTCTGAAGTGCGCAATCACAAAGATCAGCAAGCTTCATCTGCTAGCAAATCATGTTGACCAATCAACACTTCCACCGACCAGATATGTTCATCCACATCAACAACCGCAACATTCAGAATCACGCCGGATGCTCGCTTCGATCGAATTCCTTCCTGTACATTTGCGATAAAGCGACACCGGCCCGAGCCCTTCCATTCATTTATCCCCAAAAAACTTCTACCCCAAAGGTAAATTGGAAAGAACTCTTCCACCCCAAAGGACAACAAAATAAGAACCCCCCGATATTTTCGCTGAACGAAATCCAGTTTGCACCCTGTCCAGGCCATCCGACGACATCTGCGAGGGCAGCCGCACCTGACAGGGTTCTATCCTGGTTTGCTTGTCTTAATGTTTGGAACTCCCAGATTTCCATTGTGCTTGACGAGCTTACCTCTTGGGCTGAGGGCTCTTGTCGCCTGAACGTGCGGAACGAGCGTTGGGATTGGATGGCACTCTCCCCCCGCGGAAAGAGCAACACTGTCAAGAGAAACAATATTGATGTCCTGTCGCAACCAATCCACGTTGGGAAAACTTTGCCCCTCTTGATTTAGCCTAGGGGAAAAAACTAAAATATCATTTCAGCAAATGGAAGCAAAGCTTCGGCTCATCTCAGGCCGACGCCTGACCGCTCCAGGCCGCAAGGTTACCTTGAAACGGCGGAGCGGGATGCGCAGGGGAAGTTTGAGCATGACTGAGACATTTGATGTGCGCATTTTGGCCGGAATTTCCGGAACAAAAAAGCCTTCACAAGGTTTGTGGTGCGGATTTGAGATGGCATTTTGTTTGAGGATGGTTTCCGGATGTCAAAGCATGAACCGTTTGGAGGGGTTGTCTCATGTGATATACCTAATGGCACACGAAACCAAGGGATGGTTTCCGGAGTTCAAAACAAGAAGCAACGACTTGGAGGGTCGCCTCCTCACTTTGACATACTCAACGCCTACGAAGCAGGCAACAAACTCGCCGGGTTCCCTCCTGATTTAGCCTGCAAGCAGCGGAAGCATGTGAACCTTGACACAAACAAAGAAACCCTTCGTAGGCCATCACACATCTTCTTCTGGCCTGTGGCATCCAATGCAAGTCTGATCACTTTGTTCGTGCACTTCGGCCCTGCCCAGATGTTAAGAGAAAGATGACGAACAAGGAACATCCTTAAAAAACAGCTTCTTCTTCGCTGCCCGCCCGACTGTCTTTTTGAGGCGGGAGGGCTGAGCTCGCTTGAGCCCGCCATGGGCTCCCGACAGCTCCGGAGCGCTTGGAAGAGCGAGAGCCCAGGTGCTTCTGCGAGGGGAGAAGTGCAACTAGGTCCTCCAGTAGAGAGGTTAGAATAAATTTTACCAGGGGAACCCTCCCCCAAAGGGTGAGAAAAGGGCACCTATCTGGAATACCTGGGCAAGGGGCTGCGAGTTTCCAGAGGTATGCATCTTGCCAGCTTCGCTGCGTTCGCTTGTTCCTTGATAGTAACTCATCAGGGAGCCAGAATCATGGCATTTCACGACCAGCAGCACATGAGATGCTAGTG